CATTTGAGGGAACACCTGGAGCCGGCTAGTTAGTGGAACAGCCTGCAGATGATTTGAAATCTTTTTGGACAGATAGCCTAGGGAGAGAGGGTCAAGTTAAGGAGTTTAGGGAAAATATTTTTTAGGTGTACATTTGGAACTTTTAGGCCCATGGCCCTGGTAACTGGCCTGTGTATCAGTTAAAATGGCGGAGACTAGTCCATAGTTTATTACCTAGACAGCCATCCCAGGCTCGTGTGGTCTCCATGGCATTTGGCATAGAGGATCCATGTTTGTAGCACATCAGAAGTCACATATCCATCCATATATACAAAACAAACAGACAAAACTTTTCTTACCTTGTCTCTTCCAGTCTTGAACTTCAGTGAAGGAGCACTTTGCTAGCTGCTGAACTGCATTGTCACGGGCACTGTTGTGCCGCAGTGGGATTGGCTGGTGGCCTTCCTGAGAGGACTCCAGGCTTTTCAAAGCTGCCCAGTGGCCCCAAGCATTGTGTTTTGTGAATCCCATGCCCCAGTAGGATCCCACATTTTAAGATGACCTTTCCAAAAGCAGCTTGCATAGATAGAATGGCCCAGCCTCACTGCCAGCTAGACAGGACAGTTGGTGGGTGTTATGGGCAGTGCTTGTCTTACAGGAGCCTCAATATCGCCCCAAGACAGAACACACAAAGATAGACCAGACGCACAGGACAAAACACAAAGTGAAGCAACAACAGAAAATATAGAGCCAACAACAGAGAACATGAGACCATGACATTTAACGATTTCTTCTTGTACAACCCAGAGGCTAGGAACCCATCGAAGGCAGGGCCACTCTCAGTCTTCCCCTGCTCCCACATCCACACTGGGCCTATCGAAATCCTCAGCTGTGACTTCCAATCTCTTGGAATAATCCTATAGTTCCTAGGCTTTGAAATTCTGTTGACCAGAGGTGCCAGGCCTCCCTGAGAACTTTCTGTCAGGAGAGTGAATATGGTGGTTCCAGCTGAACTCCGCAATTAACTAGATATAACCTGTGGGATGTCTCCCCAAGCCCTGGACAAAGGATTTGGTTGGTCTTATGACTTCTTAGACCCTCTTCATGCACAGATAGGGTACCCCACAATCAGAGTCCAGAAACCAGGCAGGATACTATCAAGAAAGAAAGAGAGAGAAAGAGAGAGATAGAAAGAAAGAAAGAAAGAAAGAAAGAAAGAAAGAAAGAAAGAAAGAAAGAAAGAAAGAAAGAAAGAAAGAAGAAAAAAAAAAAGAAAGAAAGAAAAATGCTTGTTGTTTCCCCTTCAAGTGCATCGCTGGAGAGGGAGGAGGCTCCCCGGAACCAGAGTGAAGAGCCTAGTTCCAGAGTTTGGGGTGGAATTATCTTGCTGGACCTCCAAATGTTAATTCTGAGATTTGCTGGAGAAAAACCACTTTCACCATTTTGGGCCAAATTTGAAGGACGCATTATTAAACATTAAATACTGACCAAGAGATGGACTTTAATCAGGACCACTTCCTGGAACTTCCTACCTGAGTGGCCCTAAGACACATTGCAGAGGTTTATAAAGACAAACCCACAGGTCACCGTACTTTCCCATGAGGCTTTTGTTATTCTCCAAGAACTACAACTCCCAGTGTTGTGATATAAATATTACACACAGCGTAACAGGTGTGGTACAAGGAAGTTTATTGCAGAAACGGCAAAGGGAGAGAGGGAGAAGAGTCACAGACTGAATGAGTCATGAGAGAGGTAAACAGTCTGGAGATGGAGACAGACTGGCAGAGGGACAGGCAGAGAATGCAAGAGGGTGGAGAGAGAGACAGAGACAGAGAGAAACAGAGAGGGGGGAGAGGGGGGCATCCTAGACACTGGGAAGAGGAGAGAAACCCAGAAACTGAGGCAGAGAGGAGAGAGAGAGAAGGGGGGAAGTGTCATTTATCATGGTTCCCTGGTGGGTGACAGGTGATGATGTCACAGGTTGCTAAGCAACCTAAAGGCAGGTTGCCTATTTACCAACACAGCATCCCAGGAGGTTGCCTGGTATTTTGGGCAGGTTAATTTTGGGTGTTACATATTACTACCGTTTGTGATCTGTACTGAAATCAACATTGTAGAAAAAGCAATAGACTCATTCTTTTGAGTCAGAGTAAAAGTTTGGGGAGCCAAAAATAATTTTGCATTAAAAAGCATAAACACGCTTTCCTCTATCCAGAAGATTGGGTGTATAGAGATTGAATAGGTGTTTTTAGGACAATGGGAAGCAATTTTTAAGTATATAATCTTAGAAGACAACCAACAGAAATTTAAAATCTTAAGCTTGTGACGATGAGAAGTACTACCAGAGCTAGAATAATAGCTTATGAGAATTCCATTGATGAATGTTAAAACTTTGGAAGTCTTAGTATAACAATAGCATAATGAGGGAAAGAAATCTTAAGCTTTTATTTTTGTATATACTTTAAATCAAAGACCTTCCTAAATGGCATAAAACACTTTTAGAACCCCATAATGTAAGCTTTTTTATATCCAATTATTTACCATGAGACATAGGTGGTTGACAATTGAGAGCAATCACTGAAAAGCAAGTTCCTTTAAATAAATGAATCATAAAAAAAAAAGAAACCTAATGTTGAAACCTGTTTTGTGAGTTTATCTCTTTCTTAAAAGGTGGCTTTCATTAAGCCAAAAGGGAACCCCCAAACACCCCCCCCCCAAGGCCCACTGACTAGGTCCAAGATGACTGACTAGGCTCAGCTTGGGCTGGAAGCTGGCAGGGATTGCTGGTGGATAAGTCAAAGCTTACTCTCAGCACACCTCAGAGACTGTGAGACAAGTTTCTGTCTGCAGAGACTTGCTATTTCCACCACCTTCCCTTGCCTCTGGCGTAGGGATATGTGGCTCTCTTTTGATGTATAGCACATATCCACATGGTACATATCTGTATATCAAAGTCCGCACTAGCCTCCTGGCTCTTCTCCTCTCCCCCTCTACTCTAAATTTCCAAACTGTTCCAGTTTACAGGTTCTCCGCCCCCGACTCTGCAGCTTCAGGCTCCCTTCATAACCAGAGAGGTTTTTACCTTGCCTTGTTCTGATCCTGGGAAATGTCCCTGGCCACTGTTAGTCTGCCCAGCTCCTCTCTGCCCCTGGGAGGTAGCCATGACTGCCTTGGACTTTCCCAAATGCCTCTGGCTATTTTCTCTTCCATATACCTTTTCTGCTGATGTGTCCATGGAACAGCCCAGTTCGGTGATTTCACTGTGCCCTCCCATACAGCTCGTTTCTCTATATGCGAGGCAGAACTGTTGAAACCAGGCAAGCGTGTGTGGAGCCAGTAGAAGCTAAGGAAACCATTGGGCCATGCTGCAAACACACCCTAACCTGCACAGTGGGTCTGTATCGCCAGTTATAGGCCAGCTGCCCGGTTCCACACAATGACTAGCAACTGTGGTGGGTTTGATAATTTTAGAAATACCGTAATTACACAAGTAAGATACAAAATATTTAGGGCGTGAAAATAAAGTGATTACAGGAAGCTTCAAAAATATGTAGCAAATTCACACAATTTACTGTGGAGTGGAAACAGGTCAAAGCAGCAGTCCTTGTCAAATGGTGTTTGACAACTTGAAGAGAAGAACTCAAAGGGGCCTGGGTCTGTGGCTCAGTGGTAGGGCACTTGCCTGGAGTGCACAAGTTAGTGGGTTCAATTCTCAGCACTAAAAGAATAATTAGAGTTAAACAGACAAATAGGAAGAATGTTAAACTGAGGCAAACAAATGTGATCAAGTTAAAGGCCAGCCTCTGTAAGGAGTTAGGGGACCTAGACAAAGCTAGGTGAAGCTCCATTGTAAGTACACTGAGGCAAAGCCAAGAAAGGAGCACTAGGAAAACAGAGAGCCTCCTGGAGCCAATCAGTGAGCAGCACAGGCTGCTCTGAGGTTTGGAGAATAGCTGTAGATTGTCAGCCTGTCTCAGCACAACCCCGATCCTGAGAGTGGATTGTCACTCAGGTCTCAGCACCATCCAGCCCTGAGAGTGGATCTGGCAAACAGAAGTAGAGATAAACAAAAAGGGCTCTCCTTGAAACCTGGTACAAAAGTAATGCAGATAAATCAACACTAATCTAATTCATAAGATTCAAGTGAAGCACCGACTATTGATGGAGAAAGGAGGACAAAGGCTTGGTGGACCCCAAGGTCTCAGCATAATTAGTACAGGCAGGCTTCCTAAATGCACTAAACTGTTAACTTTAGGAACACGAAGACTGAGAGCCCCAAAGTACCCATACCAGATTTTTAAAGAAACTTGGAGTAAGAAGTAGAAAGTGGAAAACACAAGTATTGGGAAAGACTTTTCAGGAAGTTTTTCTTAAAGGAGGTACAAAAAGCTGAACTGAAACCAGAAGCCACATGTGGTCATGGGAATGTTTTCCAGTAGCTCTTGCAGGTTTGGTCATGGTAGAAAAGAGGTGAGAAAGGAGATAGTCAAAGAAGAGATCTCCTTGGAAAAATTTAAAAGGCTGAAATCTAAACTACAGACTGGGAGGTTTGATTTAGTCAGGCAAGAGATGGTTTTATTCGCAGTAAGCACAGGAAGAAATAACAAGCATCCAGCTGTGCAGCGGAAGGAAGCTCAGGAGTCATGTACCGGTGTCTCCATTTATTCTTGTAGTAAAAGGAGATCTTTTACAAGAGGTGAGTGGAGGTTCTGAGGATTGGAGCTTTCTGTTAAGTAACCGCTGTCTGGAATAGATGAGGGACTGTGCCGGTGACAGGGGTGGCCAAAGGGCTAAGCTCAGTCTCTAAGCTCAGTGAGACTGGCTGGTGTTTACATGTTCTTGGAATCACAGCACACTCTAGAGACAGAGGCTAGAGGATCTCTGTGAATTTAAGGACAGCCTCATCTACATGAGTTCCCGAACAGCAAGGACTACATGGTAAGACCTTGTCTGGAAGATAAAAAAATGCAAATCTCCATAGTAGCTGATTCTTTCCTAGTAAGAGAAATACCGCTGATCATTCAAACGTTGTCCTCTGTAGATGAATCTTGACAAATCCAGTAGTTGTGAATGTAGCACTTTTCGGAGAAAATACCCTTCCTTGTTATCAGGGCACAGGCATCTCCTCCGACTCGACCTGTGACTTGAAATCTACAGAGGAAAAAGCCACACATTAGTGACTCCGAAGAGGACAGGGCTCTGCCCCAGACAGGCGTCTTTCGACTGGTGCCTTGTGTTGTCCTTCCTCTCCAAGGTAGAAACTTCAGATATTGCAATATTCAGACATGGAGTAAGTGAACATTTCAAACCCAAAGACAGCTATCCCGGATGCTGTGCGGCACAACAGAGTCAGTAAAAGAGACCCGGCCTCTACAAGGTAAGAGAATCAAAAGCAGTCCTTGCACATGGTCACTATGGCATGCGCACACACACACACACACACACACACACACACACACACAACCTATAAGTAAATGCATATTTTGCAAATAAAATGTAAATTATATTATGAACCTCTTCGTGTTCCAGACCCAAATCCCAAACTTCACACCTTCAAAACACCTTCCTTTGTTGCTATGAAAAAAAAAAATCCTTCATTTTAAAAATAGTAACAACAACCATAACTAAAACATTAGACCGCTCTTTGGTATACCGTAAGCATGACAACTCCAGACAGGGTTGGGGGCTGAGCAAAGTGAAGAAACTCCCCCCAACACACCTTCTGCTCCATGGTCTTCAGACAACTCTTTCTGCCTTACGTAAACAAATGACAGGCAACACAATCTCTCATCACTGCGGTAGCTCATCTTGGTTGTCACCTGAGAAGAGGAAACCTAAACCCAAGAGCTGCAGCCATCAGAAAGGCCTGTGGCCCTGTTACCGGATCCTTTTCCTGATTGCTGATTGAAATAAGAGAACCTAGTCCACGGTGGGTAGGTAGTGCTGGGGTATACAAGAAATGTAACTGAGCAAGCCACAGGGAGCAAGAGAGTGAGTGGCATTTCTCCAGAGCCCCTGCTTCGGTTCCTGTCCTTTTTGATTGAATTCCTCCCTTAGCTTTTCTCCATGATGGGTTTGGTAGGGAAGTACAAGCCAAATATGCCCTTTCCTCCCCAAGTTGCTATTGGCCAGGATGCTTATCGCTGCAACAGAATGCAAGCTAGGATATACTGATTATAACCTTTCCACTCCTAACTTCTGCATTATTAAACTAAATTGGAGTGTGAGAAGGGCCATACGTTATTTCAGACTCTGATTCTCTAAGACAAATTTTATGAACCTTCTCTTAACAGGTATCAAACTCTTCCATCCTACAATCGCCTGACCACCTGAAGTTCCCCAGAGATACCAGGAGAGGGCAGTGTACGAAAGTCTTACATTTCCCCAGTGGCCCACAAACACCAAAAACTCACAATTGCGGGTGTAATGGTATGCCATCAAGCCAGGTCCATGTTTTCTGTGGTTCTGTAATGTTCAATCCAATCCAAAAGTACACTCCATCATGTATTTTACTCTGGATGAAATCCTAAGAACAGAGACCCAGGGGAAAACAGCTGAGTGTCAGGTATGAAGACAGACCCTTCTGACTTCTGTCCGAACCTAAAGAGTTTCTGACGTTCATCTTTCCACTGAACTTTCCAGGACAGTCGTAAGAAGTCTTCTGTGTATTTAGGAAAAGAAATCCATATGCTGAGGCTTTTCCAACCGTGTGACTCTCACGTACACTCTGTTGGATGGAATAATAGACAGTACAAACAGCAGTCTATGAGAAGGGACGGAGGAGACCAAAGTGAGAAAGGATGAGGCTGCTTAAAGGCGACAGACAATGTAGGCTTTAAATGGGTGAAAAAAACAAAAAACAACAAAAAAAAAATCATCTTCCTGCTGCTTACCAAGATTTTAGACATCCTGCCAGGTACTGCCAATGTTTTACATTTTATCTATGCCGTTCTAAGTTTTTGAAACAGGGTCTCACTCTTACAGCCCAGGCCAGAGTAAAACTCCCCCATCTCAATCCTCTTGCCTCCGTTTCCCAAATGCTGAGATTGCAGGTGAGCACTTCCAAATCATGGCTAAATTGGGAATGTTTTGATGGGTCCCTTGGAACTCCTCATCCTCCATGTAAGAGGACAGTATTGATAACAAATTATCCTAAGAACCCAGCTAGGCCACTTACCTGAGCAGTAACATAGCCAACTGATGTCCCTGGGGAGATTGTGTAATGTCCCCATGTGGCTCTAGGGAAAATTCTGTCTCATAAATTTAATCTTAGATCTAATTGAGGTTTTGGTTGTAAATTGCATTGAACGGTGCCTGGCCTGAGGTAGGCATTCAACATATGACAGTAATTAATAGCAGAATAATTACATTATCATGAAATGAACCCACATCTGGCTTAGAAAGGACTAAGTTTCATGAGACTAGCTATTACCAGTTCTGCTTTGTCTTGGATCACCAAGAGATGTGATTTCTTTACTGCACAGGATATTTCACTGTCAATCCATGACTTAAAGTTCATGTAAAATTTGTAGCATTTCCCTTGTTTCTGCAACCAGTCATCAGGGCATGATTTTCCTAGAAGGAAGAAAACAATATGGGAAGTAGCAGAAATGAGAAAGAAGTTTTAAGACCAAACACAATTGTTGCATTAAGTTTTAAACGTTAAAAGCCATATATATATAATAGACTGTGTGAAACATTCTACTAACAAGCTAGCTAGTGAGACTGGAAGGTCATTCCTAAAGAAATATAGATATGTATTTGTCTCGTGTTTGCTTGTGAGACAAGATCTCCCTTTCTACCTTAGGCCTGGCATAGAACATTTGGCGATCCCCCAATGTTTCAGCCTCTTGAGTGCTTAAGAGATCTGTAACTGTCTTAAAGGGCTTTGGGGGATCAGCAACATGTCTCAGCGGGTTAAGAACCTGCCACCAAGCCTGCCGATCTGAAAGAAAAGAATGGTGCCTATTGTCTTTGGACCTCCTCAAGCACACCTTGGCAACTGCACAGCATCCATAAACATACAGATACAGGCACACAAAGTTTTTAAAATTCCTTTCAGCTTTCAGGTATCTTCTTCTGTGCTTCTTTTATACAAAGTTATAAGAAATTTACTGACAAGAACAATCAAATACCATAGTCAATTATCAGTATATGTTTACATGGATAGTTGTGCGCTGACTATATGTATACACACACTGATTGGACATTCAAAAAGGAATCAGCTTCTATCTGCCTATGAGGAGGAAGCAAGAAAAAAAGAAGTGAAAATATTCTAAAATTTGGGCCTTTCTAATGTCCAGAACTTGAACAAATCACAAAATGACGATAACACACAAATGGGTTTTCTTCCTCCCCTGGTGCCAGGATGCCAGGTTAAGGAGTTAGTGAGCTGGGGACTGCAGATCCAGTTTCCTCATCATCCCCATTTGGTTTGGACTGGCTCTGCAAGGAAGCATTGGGGTTTAACCTAAGCCTCTAACTTGTGGCTAATGGAGGAAGGACAGCTGGGCATTTGAATTGCTTTTCTTTATAAGCTACTGATAAACACCTTCCCAAGAAGGATAAACTTCTAAAGAAATAGGAAAAAAAGAGAGAGAGAGACAACATGAAGCAGGTTTACATTTCTCTCAAAATGCTCTGAGAAGAATAATTGGAATTCATTAGTGAAGATTTTTATCAGTAGAAAGCCTAAAGAACCAGTGTGTCTTTGCACTGTAAATGTTTCACTGGCTTGAGTGTGTACTAAGATTTCCTCTTCAAAAATTAAGCAAATAAAATGGAACGTAACAATAAAATTAAAAAATGTTTTAAAAAGGAAGTTAGTGAGCTAGCTCTTCTTTTGGCAGCTTCCATGTGCGTTCTAATAACTTTTGTGAATTTGTCTGCTGTCAGCTCAATTTGCTTGATCCCAATAGCAGAAGCTGAAAAGACAGAGGAAAAGATTTCCCTTCTTGAAATGCAGTGATATAAGCCACTTACCTGTGGAGTTTACTCTGTCCTGTTGTTTCTCAGAAGAAATATCCACACAGTCACAACATCTGGTTTCATTATTACCAAGCATCCCCACATTACGCTTATCACTTAAAGAACATGTATTCAGATGACTTACTGAAAAGTAAAAAATCATAATGCTAATTAAATTTCTACAGGTACAAGCCAGAGATCCTTTGTTTTAATAAAATTGCTATTGGATGCACAAACTGCTTGTCAAAAACTGGTCTGGTTAATAATATCTCCACCTTTTAATTTTACATGTGAATTTAGCAAGAAGGAGGTTTCTTCTTACCAAGAATCATATAGAGACACAAAATAACATTATCTAAATTAAATTAAAATAGACAAAACTTTCCTTTACCTGTATTAAAGATTAAGCCAGTTAACTTTTCTTTATAGTTATTAAAATTTCCTAATGTGGTAGAACAAAATTGCTCATGAACTTCCGCTTGTCATAGGACCATGGCACTGCTCAGTGTCGTCACGTGCACCAAAAGACAAGTCCCCTTAGCGTTCGCTTGACACTTAAACATACTGTAAATCAGTCATTTATCACAACTCCTAACACAGAGTAACTGAAAATGGAAGCAACAAAAAGCGCAATTCTGTTTTATTTGTGCACTGTGACTTTAGCAACAGACTTTATATTTAATTTGGACCCAACTTTTCAACCAACTGATAAGTCTTCAAAACATCAACCTTTGAAATATGCTTGACGGATAAAGCCAGCGTGTGTAAGACTTGAGTTCTTTCACTACAATTGACAACTTCATCTTCTAGAAGAGTTATCACCAAAGTCGCATGTTTACTGATCCGTTAAAACTTAAGGCAAATCTTTCAAATCGATGCATGCATAGGGTATCATTAGTGGTTACAAGGGGATCATTTCACATCAACAGGATTAAGTTTATGATGGAAACTGGTTTGAGATAACACGCCAAGCAATTCTGTAACCTTGGAAGGAGCCAGCAGAACTCCTCCGGGAACACGCTGGTCCCCATATCTTCGCAGGTAGCTTTCAGAGTACTCACTGTGGATGATCAGTCCTATTACTGTGGCGACCAAGAACACCAGGGCAATGCTGGCCAGCCTCAGAGCTAGCCGATGCCATGTTGGACACTCAGGGTAATCTGTAATGGTTAAATGTTCTTCTGTAACATTTAAACGTCTTAAATATACTTGCAAATGTGTCACAATAGAAAAGCCGAAGTGTGCACACTGTCTTGAAACAGGAAAGGAAACTGTAATTTGTTACGTGGTGAGGTAAATGGGCGTGGTGGCTCATAGCTATAAAGCCAGCATTTAGGAGGTTCAGGTAGGAGCATTGTCATGTGTTCATGGCCGGCCTGGGATAACAGAGTCAGACTCTGTCTCAGGCAAACACACAACAAAGTCCTCACTCAAGATTCTCTAAGATGAATACAAACTTAATTATCTTAAAAATGGATTTATTGAATCTAAGAGCTCGACATGCTTTTTTTTTTAACCATCATCAAATAGTCTTCTTACATCTGGCAGGCAATTTCTTCCTAAACTCACACTTCACAGAATAAGGTGAGTTGTTTAGCTTTTGTTTGCATATTGACTGACTTATTCAAACAATATTCAAAAGAACTGAGCCTCAGGAAGAAATACACACTAATGCCAGAATAATTTAGTGAACAAAAACAAACAAACAAAAAGCAATTGTCTGAGGAGGCACATGAGCAAAACACATTTTAATCATCTTCTCAAAACAAAACACGTGTTTGTTGATTCATGAAACAAACTCAGGCACTGATCATTATAATTGTATATTTTACTTTAATAAATATACTTCTCAATCTTAAACTCAGAAAAAATCTAACTTATTACACTCAATATAAACATATTTATACATTTATTTTATGTGCCATGAATTGGTCTGCTATGGTAGAGCTATAGATAGCTACATGTTCAAGTAGGTAGGTATACGGATATACATATATCCCTGTGAAACAGGTAACAATATTCTTAAGACTGAGCTAGTGTTAAGTAGCCAGTTGAAGTTAAATATTAATGCTGGAGGTAGAATTAAGCTAAAATTACCCACTAACACTGGCTGCAGTAGTGCGTGCCTTTAACCAGCACTTGGGAGACAGAGGCGAGCTAATCTTTATGAGTTCCAGAACAGTATGGCCTATGGGGCTAGTTCCAGGACAGCCAAGGCTATACAGGAAACCTGTCTAAGGAAAGAAAACAAAACATTCCCCACTACCATGCTAAGCTTACAGTCAGTCATCAAATTTAGGATTCTAGATTCCTACCTTTGTACGTCCACTTGTGTTGGCAGTGATAGGAACGTTTTCTTGGCTTCTTTACAGTTGCTCTTTCTGTGTGGTGCGTCTGTCCAACCATCCTATAAATAGAATAATCCATTTTTCAATGAGAAGAAAACAGAGACAACATCTAGCAAAAAAAAAAAAAAAAAAAAAAAAAAGTGCATATAAATTTGTAGCACCAAAACATAGCCTATCGCTGTAAAACCACAAAGGATATGGTCGGAGAAGGGGGAATTTGTGCTTCAACCACAACTTTTCTTTTAGCAGAGATTTCAGATTTGCAGAGAAAGTGCTCGTGTAGCCAACACTCAGGTTTTTCTATTATTATTTATTTTCTTGCCTTATGGAGACAGACAGAGATGTGCAGAGAAAATGGAAGGAAGAGCAGACAAGCCATTTTCATGATGAATTTGCCATAATTAATGGCTCAGTATTGAGGATTATTCCTAATCCTACCCTTGTCCAGAGTCCACCTGTTCCCTTCATTTTAGGATCCCGAAGTCTACAACTGCACAGTTCTCTTATCCCTCGTATCGCTCTGGGACACTCTTAGCTCTCACAATTTCTTACTCCTTCCTCCTTTTGGACTATTCGAAAGGTTTTGAAAAACGTTCATAAGATGTTTCACAGAATATTCCTAATTCGAAATAGCCAGATGTTTTTCTCATTTTATTTAGGTTGCAGCGTTTTTTTGGACGCAAGACTAAAAAGGTGAAGACCAAAAACGTGAATTCTCACCGTATCCTCTAGAGGGCGCCGATGCTCAGCATAAATACCGCTCCTGCTTTAACTACTGGCGCACAGAAACACAGCATTCTTCGGGTGTATTTACCAAAAAAATTTCTATAGACATTCACGTGACGGATTTTATAGGACTTAGGCCTAGGATCATACCCCAGCCTGTCAAGCTTTATACAAAGCTGTTAAACTAGCTTTCAGCCTGGTCTTCCGTTCTCTACTCCGGTCATGAGTGATGCGCCCCAATACATCATGACTTGACTTGGAGGACCTCCTTAATGCTAGCATTCTCATGGGCATCCGCCGCGTACACCGCTGCTGCACAGGTCAGCTCTCCCCCAGCGCCCCCTCCACCACCCAGCAGCTCTGCCTTCTCTAGGGCTCCACCGTGAGTCTGGAGATCCAGACGTTCCCAGTTGATGTTCACCCTATCCGGAAGCAATCCTCCTCATGGGTATCCCCGTTAGCCGGAAAATTTGAAAGAGCTCCGACAGGCAGCACCTTGGCCCTGGCCAATGATGTACACTCACCCCCAAAGCCTCTACCCGCTCCCCCAAAGGCTTTGCTCCCCCACCCCAGTTAAATGAGCTGTCTCCTGGAAGCTGCCTCCAGAGAGTCGGCTTTCGCCACACGCACTGCCATCTGAGGACTCCATGCCCCAGCTGTCCCCACTTTGCTCTTCTTGGATCCACCAGTTGTGGTCCCTGGGTGCTCACGCCATGAAGGTCAGGGAAGCGGAGCTGAGAATGACGCTAGACCACAGATCAAACTGGAGAAATTTGACGTCTTGACAGGGGCGAGTCCCCCCATCCGCAGATAGAGACTACCTCTCCATTTACTGAGTAATTTGATATCTTTAGGAGTTTGTAAGGTCCCGTATCGTATATATTTATGTCTAAGTATTTTTTAAAGTTTGGTGCTATTGTAAATTGTACTTCTAAATGTTCAATTCTAATTATTCATTGTTAATACGCAGGAAACAACTCCTTAGTGTTACACTCGAATCATGCACATTTGGAGTTTTCCCTTTCTATAACTGGGAATTTTTTTGTTGTTTTTACGGTCTACTTGGACAGTCATAGCATCTGCTACAAGAGACTGCTTAATAAAAGAATAATTAAGTTAATATTCTCTTCCTTCCAACAATCTCATGGTTAAAAATTAAATTCTTCGGTTCCTTATTTTCCAGTCTGTATAACTTTTGTTTTGTTCTTATATGAAGCAAGGACTTATTCTTTCTTCATGATGAGCTAAAACTTCCAATGTAGCTTGGAAACAGGTTGTAAAAACAGTAGTCTTTTCCTCTGATTCTAGAGGAAAGCATCTTGTCTCTCACCTTAAAAACTAATATTAGCTGAAGGCTCAGGCAGGCAGATCTCTAGGACTTCCATGCTAATATGTATTATTTAACAAGTTCCAGACTAGCCCGAGAGAGAGAGAGAGAGAGAGAGAGAGAGAGAGAGAGAATCATTTACCCAATACAGTGTGCTACCCCAGCATCTTATAGAATCAAGATTATTATTTCTTCTCCAAGAGAGGAGAAAGTAGATAGATGCAAAATTGTGAACCAGAAGTCAGACCTGGTGGCTTACATCTGCAATCCCAGGATGGGAGGCTGAGACAAGAGAATGCATCGCTCAAAGCAGAGTAAGCTACAAACAACACCTTTTCTCAAAAACTTAACAATCACTCTGTGCCCTGAACTCTAGGCACATTTGTCCCGTTGGCCAAGAGCCATGCACAGATTTCTAAACTGTTTTAAACATCGAAGGCAGGATGGTGGGACAACCACAGCCACTTCCTGGTCTGCAGCATCAGTGAAGACAACGTTTCTTAGACAAACTGCGAAGGCTGTGGTTTATCTAGATTGTTAGCATCTATTTCCTGCGCCTCCCTGACTTGTTTGAAGTTTTGCACAAGCCTTAATTGTTCAGACTAGCATGCCCCAAAGTACATACAGCAAACTGTCTCCCTGTTTGAGAGGCAGGAACAGTTGCAGAAGAATACCATGGAAAGGAGTGTATTGGGGATTCTTCAACTGGATCTCTACTTGGAGAGGCTACTTGTCAGGAGGTGGGAGGGGGTGGAGAAGCAGAAAGCAGAATACAGGAACCTGGAGAATAAAAATAACAATGCGTTTAAAGAAAGTGCTGAACAAGGTATGTGTGCACCTGAGGAAGCTCACCTGGCGCCTAGCACAAGTTGGTTTATACAAACGTGGTGTATATACGTACAGGTAGGAAGAGGGCATCAGATCCCCTGGATTTGGAGTCTCTGATGGTTGTCAGACTTCATGTCAGTGTTGAGTTAAACCCCAGGTGTTTGTATATAAACAAATATATAAACAACAACAACAGCAAAACAAATATAAATGACCTCAGCCATATTCCCATACACTATTAATAATTCTGATTGACCTTAAGAAAAATAAAGAAGTAGTCTCCTAGGACAATCCTAATCGTGAATCAAAGCATGCATCTCTAGAAGGTTACAGAAAGGAAGCCCTTGGAAAACCAAGCGTGATCTATGGAATGGGAAACAGGAACTCTCTTCCACACATTGCCCAATCTTACTTCTGCTTGAAATTTGGTGCTAGTGCTCAACCAATCGCTCTCCGTGGCCATGCACCTGACCACACAGGTGGACAGCGTCTCCCACTTCATTGTGTTGATGAAAGGGTAACACAGCTGCAAGTAAACTATAACCTTCTAGAATGAGAATATCCGTAGGGTTATTTTAGGACCATGACAACTTCAGTGGCAAGAATCTATTAACACGACCTTTTGAACTGGCGACTCCATACGCTGTGGAATGTGACATGTGGTGATACATTTTGAATCAATTTAAACACATAGAATTGTAAGGATTGTTGCCATCAGTGAAATAAGGTGCTGTGAATCCTGGCCTTTGTGTGAGCAGATAACGTGATGAGCCAGCTGTATCTACCTGAAGCTGAAACCGAAGATCAATGTAAGTCTTGTTCTGAATTTGCACTAGAAGCCTCCCAAAATGCAAAAATTATTAAAAAAAAATAAATGAA